CTAATGATTTTTTCTTCATTGTGCTATAATTATAATACAGTAATGAATACACACATGTGCGCTTTAAAGGAATCCATATCATGTGTCTTTAATAGAGCACAGATGTTAATGCTGGCAACTCTTATTGTTCAACAAGTTCTCTCATCATTGATTGTTGTTTCTTACACTATTTCTGATCTGGTAAACAGCAGAGGAGAAGGACTCGTCTGTCATAGCCATTGGCCACCACCAACCTCCATGAGGCCACAGTATTAATCCACCGAGTGAGCCATGCTGCGTGCAATTGGTGATTACGTTGACTCATGAGTAAGTGAATAATAGGGAGCACTACTGCTTCTCCTCCATATTTCGCTATACAGCCCTGACTTGGCCATGCCTGGCAAGGCTGGCATGCAACCAGTGCTGATCTTCAACTCAGATTTTCAGTGAGATAGCTCCATAAACAAAATTACATCATGTCATGACATCATTACTTTCCTGTAGGTTTGAATCAGCTTGCTTGCTTTTACAGGAAATTATATATATTCATTGCTCCTCCAACTTAATTGACACCAGGGAAGTGCCACACACGATACTTTCAACATTTAGCTCTCAAGTGCATGAACAACATTCCCATAATCCATTAGGTACCCACCCAGAACAAACTTTGTCATCATACAAGGAAAGGCAGCTAAATAAACAGAAGGGTCAGCTTTAGAGTATAAAAGCTTGAAAAAAACACAGTATTACTTCTGGGGGAAGAGTGAAGCAGAAATTACAGTACCTTGTGCTATGGGGGCTTCTGGCCTGATTGAAAACACTAGATGCTATGGTAATACAATACTGGTGCTAAGAGACCAAAGTTTCAATGTCTTCATCTCCCATCTCCCCAGTTCCTTCCTAATATTATCCATGATGTCATTGCACCCTAGACGATTCATTTTAGCATTGATTGGAAAGGCTTTGCAGAAGAAAGAATAATACTGGAAACTGGAAATGCATCGTATGAGACGAGATGGATAATGTGAACTAATGCACAAAACTAAAGATGGCAGAAGGAAATCAGAAGAGACATTCTGCATTCTTTATGGACTACAGGACAGCGCACAAAATCACAGACTAAGATCAGCATCTCTCTTGAGGGCCTCAGTGAAACAAAAGAGTGGAAAGCATTGTATTTATGGGATAGATCATGTTTCATCTAAGATTCCTCCCTTCAGATCAATTTAGATCCAACTCAGTTCTACTGCTCCACCAGCAATAAATACAGAAAATGCTCATATATTTACAAGAAGTATTGAAAACCTCATTATCTGTTGGAAAGGAGGGGCAGAGAGTAAAGGGGAACGTGTCATAGTTTACAGCCATGTGTTTTCAAACAGAGGCTAATGTATGCATACCGACACTCACTTTTACACACCAGTGCCAAGATACTGATTAACTGCAAAGTGATCTGTACAGTGACACTACACACAGAGCAGCGCCCTTAAAACCAGGGGCTAAAATGACATACTTTGGGCCACCGGTGTTGTAAGTTGGAAATAACTTCACGACTCTCCCTTCACTCCTACCAAACATGGCTTTGCTGAGTTCCTTGTTCAGCATTCAAACTGCTGCTTGACTCTAAACAGGCATCTTCATACACCAAGTTCTAGACACACATGTAAACTTTACCATCTCGAGGCTTTTGTGTGACAACATCTGGGAATACATTTATAGGATTTTAAGTCAAAGGGTTGAGTTATGCATGCAAACTAACACTGAGCTAGATGCAGTGCTACAGTTCCATCCTAAAACCTGCAGACGTCATGTATACCAGCCCTGTCAACAGTTTGTGCACTTTAAAACCATCAAACTGGTTTTCCCCATTTTCTAAGACAAAAGAGCCCTTACAACACATAAACACATAGAAAGACGCTGACATATTTCTGTGTATGATCTCAGTAAAAACATGCTTTTCTTGTTAAATTCTGTTGCTATCCTTTGATTATAAGTATCTTCTTTCCCAGGAAATCTATGAATAATTATGTGTAAATACTCATCTCAGGGGTCTGGCATTGTGGTGGCTGTGGCCACCCCCAGAACTTCTCACCATGAATGTGCGTGAATTGCCTCATAGTCATGTGTATAATACATTCTCCCTTCCTTTGGTTTCCCTAACCACCTAGGTGCTTGCCAAGCAGGCTGGCTGGCCACCTTATTATCAACAGAAATGGGTCTAAAGTCCCATCAAGACTCTGGTGGAAGCTGGAAGTATCCCCACTGACTGCAATGGAGTTCAGCCCACTTCCAACAGTTTGGCAAGGGCTTCCTAGCTCCATTATTGAGTGGTTGTGGTCTCTGATTGCTTTATTCCTGTGGACTATTGAGAGCTTTCGATTCCACTTAACTTCATCACAGACTAAGGGCGTTCCATTGACACTAGACCCATCATAAAATGCAGCTAATTGTATCTGCTGCACTCCCTCATTGGTTCCTCCGTAAGGCTGGTTCACGTACATGGAAATTTAGTGGCAGAAGCAGATTCCTGGCGAACCATGTGCCAGCGTTTCCCTGGAGCTGCAGCTTTCCCAGCAAGGCTGCCACACATTCAGAATCCAGGTCTGTGTTTCACCCCAAGCCCTACACACTATGGCCAGGCCAAGCAGCTTGTGATTCCAGCGTGCTCTGGCACCAGCTCGTCACCCCTACGTGGGAAGAGGCCAAGCCTTACCAAGAAGGCTGAGCTCATATTTCCAAGAAGCAAAGAGAAAGGGAGAGGTTCAAGCAAAGAGTTTTAATTGCCAGTGGTTTCTTCTAGGCTAGCAGTAAACTTGGGGTTTTTATTGGATCCCAAGCTTTCTTTGCATGTACACAGGAAAAAGATGCTTCCCATTCCCGGGCACCATGCTCAAGCAAGACTCCCTCAGCAAAACTTGCAGGTAGGGTACACAAACGGGGCAGCAGAGACATCGCTTCCTGCCTCTGGATGCTTTGAGCCGGTAATAGAACATTATCTATCCCACACACTTCTTTGTCCTCCTTGCCAGGGTATCAGGCCGGCTTGCAGCATGCAGCTTGCTTTTCCTGTGCAGTAGGAGCAACTGCTGCCTCCACTCACAAACAGTGAGCAGAGGCCAGGGCTTGCAAGCGCTTGGGCTCAAACAGTGTGCACAGGGCATGGATGACAGAGTTGGGAAGTGAGCCAGATCTCCCAGAGCCTGAGCAGGTGGGTGCCCTAACTGCTAGGTTACCTTTCATCTTCCAGCATTAAAGGCCTGGCACGGGCCATCCCCAGCCCTATCTTCAGTAAGCCTCAGGTGCAGTTCTGCATTTGATTCACTTATGCCAGCAGCAAATTAAATTTCAGGCTCTTACAATGAATTAGAGAGGTGAAGGAGAAGTAGAGCACAAGCTCATGTGCCTGGACATATGCTTAACTGTGAGGCTTCAGGATGGCCACCTATCACAGCCTCTTGCCTTTTCTTCTTAAACAGTGGGTGCCTGTTCCCAAGACTGTGATTTATTGCAGCTGTGTGCCCTTCTGTGGTCTGAAGAGGATCCTTCAGCTTTCTGCCTGAAGAAGGTCCTCACAAGTGACACAGGTTGTTTGAGATGCACTCACTGTTCCCCTCTCCTGTGACATTTCTTTACATAAGCAGCTGAATAGAAAAACATATCAGTGTTCGTTACTTATTTTGTTATTTATAGTGAACTGCCACAGATGGAGACTGCAGTACCACTCTATCTTTAGGGCGTAGCGCCTGCCTGTCCATACAGACAATTGGTAATTAGCACAAGAACAATTTGTTTATCTATTCTTAAACTTAAATAAATAGGAGAGCTGTTTATCTGTCAAAATTCAACTCCCTCCCATTGCCAGATCTCCAAGTTAACTGCTTAATGAATAGAGCTCATAGCTTCAGGCATTTAGGTAATGACAAAAGTGTCTTTTAAAAGAATTCCCATTAAAGAAAATGAAATACACAATAAAAAATAACAGGTTATGTACTGAAGGGATAACATTTAGATCACAAGAATCAGGAGCACTGGACAAGATGAAGAACAAAGGGGTGTCAAGCAGAGGTGTAGAAATGGACCGACCAGTATGTAGGGGACGTGGGGTATGTATCTTGGTTACTCCTGTCATGTGCACTTCCTACCAGTCCAGCCACCCAGCTCTCAGCCGATGACTCTAAGCGAGTCCTTGCGTGAGCGTGACACTGGGGAACAGATGGCAGAGAGGATACTTGCAGTTCTTCAAGTAAAATCCAACATGTGCACTAAGATGCATTTGCATGGCTCGGATGGCAGGACCCTGCCCAATGTAAACACCACACAAGCCAGGGAGAAGACATGACATAATTTCTTCTATTTTTATTTCTGATTCCAACCCTTCTTTGTTTTCTTTTATTCACTATACCCATCCCTGAAGTTAGAGAAGAGAGGGAGAGGCTTTATGAATAGATGGACTTTGTGAGTTGGCCACAGGGGTTGGCCCCTTTTCCTTCTCTCCTTGTCCCCACCAGTGCTGACAGGAGGGGAACGGGAGCTGCTGAAGGACTGCTCACGCGCACTGTAAGGCTAAAGCAGTCTGTGTGGGAAAAAAAAAAAAAAAAAACAAAACAAACAACCCTTGTCTTTCTCACAGTTCAGATGTTTTCAGCATCTAAAAGTGTTCACTTACTTACTCAAGCTTGCAGGTGCAGCTTTTTTCACATGCATATGAATGTACACACGTACATATGTACAGGATGAGAAAAGCAGTGGGAAAAAATAAGAAGCTTTTAGAGGTTACAGTTATCAGGTTGCAAAAGTGGGTCAGATCTGAGGAATTCTTCCTGGCCTCCATTTCTGATCATATGGACCCCAGAAGAGCTCTTTGCTTATTGTCCTACCACCTGGACGATCTTTATTTGACATTTTAATCCTCCCATCAGCAACCAGGAAGGGGATAAAAGCTACTAAATAAAAATAAACTATTTAAAATACAATGGCTGGAAAGAAATAACTAATGAGGAGCTCCTTCTTTTGTCTTTCAGCTCACAACTCCAAATTTCCCTGTAGTGGTCAAGCTGGGACATGCTCATGCTGGAATGGGGAAGGTAAGTAAAAGAAAAAATACATGTAGCTCAGGAGATAGATATCTATGTGGCACAGCTTTCCTGTACACAGTGTGTGGCCAGACAGAAAAGGGGTTAAACCTCCCCACAGCCTATCTGGGTTGCACTGGATGTTCCTGCGGGATAAAAGTCCTTTTTCTGCTGTCACGCACTTGGAGAGAGGCAGTGGTATTGGGTTGGAGGCTGTCTGGGATGTGGGAAGGGGGGTTGTGAGGAGTGGGGGAAAAGCTGGCTGGGCTGAAGTCATTAGGCTCGTCTTTTATATATTTTCTCCTCTCCTGAAAGTGTGGTAATGTTGTTTATTCAAGCACCTGTAATGTACAGCTACACCCCATAGTTCTCACAATGAGGAGCAGTGGCACTGGTCTTTTTGAGCGCCTTATGATGACCTTATTCAATAAAACGGGAGCCCTTCAGTTATTTTTTTCCTCCTTGCAAGGAAGAACAAGACGTTACAAAGCAGAGTGGCTGGTTGCCTGCCAAGGAATCCTGAAAAACAGTTCACTCCCCAGAAGGACCTGTTTGTTTTTCCCAGGCTCTCTGGGATCTTTATTCCCCCAGTGAATTAGCAGCCCCTGTTTCTTGGGGTGACAGGGCTCCCCTTTCAGTGAGGCATCGCCATCACATTCCTGCTGCACTTTAGCCGCCTCTTTCTTATGTATACCTTTTTAAAAAGCATCCCCTATTTGTCTAAAACTTGATTTGTTCAGAAGTAGGTAATTCTGATGTATCATCTCTGAATCCAAATGGGTGGTACATGAGCTTCGCCACTGATACCCCAGTCACAGTGCTTCCCTAGAACAGACAGACCCCTTCTCCCAGACTCACACTTTGCCTGAAAATTATATATAGGTACAGCAGAATTAAACTTGGTACAGCTTGTTTGCTTGCACTCTGGAAACAGAAACCCCTTCTGGCTTTCTGGGTTGCACATGGAATCTCTCATAATCTTTCTTGCTTTGGTTGCAGTCTTTCCCTGCCTGGATGGTAGCTGCTAGAGAGGAAGTGGGCTGCGATCCCTGGGCCAGTAGTGGAGTTGGCTTTCAGCATCAAAGAAGGAACATTTAAATAAGCAGGAAATGTTTGTTAAAATATTGGTGCTGCGTATGTTAAACAGGCAGAGGTGTCATTGAATTAGAGTACATGTGAACAGCCTAGAGTTGCTTGTAGAGCGAGCCACTGAACGTGTCCCTAGGAAGGATTTCATTAGCAAAATCCAACCACAACAAACCAGGAGGAGTAAACCTCTCCCTGAAGAAGGTTTCAAGTTCCTTAAGAGCCTGCAATCTGGGATCTCTCAGACTGCTCTGAAATTTCACCTGTAATCTAGGGAGGGCTTCATGTATCTCTCTTGAGCCCAAAGGAACCTTGGTGGATACAGAAATGAGGGCAGAATCAGACAAAAGTACCATAATCTTAACAGTTTTTCCGGACAAAACTCTCAGCAGACTACGTAGCTATTGTATCCTGCACCAAACACCACATCTTCTTCCACCTCTCACCTTCCCCACCATTTTATTCTTTAACGATGTTGAGTTTTGCTGTCACAAGTTATAGGGGAAGAGAGTTTCTATTCAAACTCTGGGCCAAATTGTACACAGTGGTACAAGGGGGGTACATAGGAAGTCGTTTCAGATAAGATAGGCTGACAGCCAGCATCTTAGAAGAAAGAATTGGCCTGAGGCCAAATTTATTCTAGTCCATTATGAAATTAGGGAATACTAGCAATGCCTGGATGTGGATTTGGGCACAGAGTTTCAACACTGCTCTGTTCAGTAGACAGGGAAGGTACAGGAAGGAAGGGTTGTTGGTCTTATGGTTTTAGTTTGGGCCCTCTCCAGCCACAAGCAGCCTGAAGGAAAGTTGAGACTAATTAAATTAGTCTTCTTGAAGTCCCATTGCATTTCATTGCATAGAGCAAAAAGAGAAGAGGGAAAGTGAAAATAAAATAAAGAACAAATCATTTGGTTTAAAAGACAAGTAACGGGAATTTGTTTCATATTGGTTTTAAGACAACAGGGTTCAAGCCCAAGGGGGACTGACAGAAAGAAACCACAGAAAATGTCAGGAGAAATATTGATAAGCAGAGCTATGGGTATACTAGAAAAGTAACACCTATAGGTAAAAAAAAATCAAACCTCCAATTATAATTCGGAAGAAGAATTTACAGAAGACATAATGGTGGTTTTAACCATCATGATGTAAAAGCAATAACCAGTGATGATAAGGAGATTATAGAGAGCTAAATGATTTCTTTGCATTGATCTTCAGAAGTAGAGATGATAGCAGGAAATAGCAGGTCTTTAGCTGTAAAATACACCCAATATGAAAAGAAAGAAAGGTTTGCTTTTTGTTTAGATGAGTTTAAGAAATTAAATGTTAATATAGCACCTGCATCAGGTCATGTTTTGTATAAAAGCAGTGACTGAAGGAACAGAGGATAAAATAACCAACCTATCAGCCAAAGTACACATGTGAGTATTAAAAATAGTAGTTACTGCAGCAAACGATGCCAAGATAGTGAACCATGTATTTGTACCTCTAACGGGTGCTTCAGAGGATGTGAGCATTCAGATTACAATCTCATTACCATGAGAAATTGTCAAGGAAGTACTTACATTTTTCTTGTTACTAATGATAAAATCACATGTAATGGGAGGCACCAAGACTTAGAAGAATGAGCAAAGATGGGAAGGCCAGACACTGTTATTCTTTATTTGTACTGAGGCAGTGGCCAGGATCCAGAAAAATTCTGGACACAGAAAAGGCCTCTTCCCCAAAGAGCTCCACCATTGACTTGCAGGGAGATTTATGTCAAGTCACAGTTCTCCTTCAGTTTCTCTGTGTTACAGACCAGAGGGATTATAATGATTACCTGATACTTATTGATAATTCACGTTCATAAGGCTCTTGGCACTATAAGAAATGCTGTTTATTATTTTGCGATAATGGCTAGGAAGAGCATCATTATAATAGTCAGACTTTTATTTTCACATTTTGTTTGTTTTCACATTTGCACAAAAATTCACTCACCACATTTTCTAATCAGAGGGTTGAACAGAGAAAGCTAAAATGAAAAATAGCCATGTCGGGACTTGTAAGAAACAGGCTCTATTGGCTGTCTTTAGCCTGGAAGAGGAACAGTTAGCACTCGGGGTCAGAAACAAAAGGGATGGCGGTATACCATTACTGATAGAAATGCTCTTGCTAAGTGATGCGAGCATATGAGGTGCATGTGGAGATGAAGAAAACAAATTTGTAATAAAAAAGCATCTTTTAAAATTTCCATTGAGAAATCCAGAAACAACAGCCTCTCTATTGACTTGAACAGAGACACCAGAAATAGCTTACACCCAGAGAGACAAAGGAGTCCCAGACAATCTTCTCATCTAAAAAGAGAACATATGCCCCTCAGCCCCTCCCATGGCCATCATTATCCCCCTTCCAAAATTTGGAGACACTTCATATTTTGGTGGCACTAACAAGTGCTCGGTGTGCTGGTGGTTCAATACAGTATTGGTACAAATAAAATATCTGTAGGAATACTGCGTAGACAGTGGTTTACGATGGAAACAGCAGAGAAGGACCTTTCTCATGTGTTTAAGTTGCCCAGGCTCATGGGGTCAACAGTGCTCAAGGACTCTTCCAGGGACACCATGGATGGACACTGAGAGAAGGTGTCCTTCCCTCTGCAGAACTGAACTATTGTTCACCCAGCAGTTCCTAGGAGGTCAAGGCATTTTTAAGAATTGTGCAGTTTGAGCCTACCTACCCCAGAAATGACGGGGGGTCTCTGCTGAATAGGGTAAGCACTACAGTGAGAAAGGAATAACACTTCTTCCTGACTCCGGATCTCATGTTGCCAGAGCCAATGGAAAAGAATAAAGCTCTGAGTGTGTTAATATCTGCCATTTGTGTGCTAACATGACCCTAAAGTGCCCTAGGAACAGAGCCCAGCACTGCAAATTCACTCAAAGAGCCTCTTCACCTCTTCCTGATCAGATCATGAGAAGGAAACAACTGCCAGATCTGCAGAGAGGAAAAACAGTATCTGTTCATGTGGCTTTATATATATTTATATTAATTTAATATATATATATATTGCTACTCTTGCTTCATTTTTAGACCTCTCTAATTAGACCAGTTTAAGAGTCACCTCCTGTCCCCTCCTGCCCCATAATTATGAAAACACCTCCCCAGTACAAATCCTGGCTCAGATGAATTTATTACAGTGTAGAAGAAAAACTTGTTGTTCATAATAATGTGGTCAGAGTTATTTTCTCTCTTACTGGATGGGAAAGACTTCTTTACTTTTTTTTTTTTTTTCTTCCCCCTGGTATAAATATAGCACAAACTAAACAAAGCCACTCTGTAATGTAAAAATACTGCAAGCTTTTTATCAGGAAGGACAGCTCGTCACCTTGTCTCTCTCAGGACTGGAAATAGAATGTTCCAAAAGTGAGAGCTTTGAAAATCCAGTGTGCTAAAGAGGAAAGGAAGGGGAAAGGGCTGCCTCGATTTGTCAAGGAACAAATATTTTCTTTTACAGAGGACAAATAATGACTTGACATGTAACATTCACAACAGAGCAGCCCAATCACTGCATTCCCACTGATTCATGAGCGAGGAGGTACCACCCATCTTGAAAATAGCAAAAGCATCCCCATTTCTCACACATCAGTCGGGAAGCTTTTGCTGGACACAGAAAATGGTGACTGATCCAGGGCACCGGCGACCAAAGCTGCCAAGACCTGGGGCTGAGAGAAGCTCTTCATTAGGAAGTTAGTAGGGATTATAAGGTTTAATGCATTAAAGGCAGCATAACCTCTGGAGAACTTCAGTGTGAGGATAATAAGGAAATGCAGACTCTGTTGTGTCTTTTATTATTTTGAGGTGGGTCAAAGTTAGGCCTAAACTGAATGTGTGTCAGTTGGATTGGGTGTTTTCTGAGAAGGGGAGCATAATTTGGGGTAGAGGGAAGGAGAGACTCAGGAAACCCTCTGTGCAGAGCCATTCCTGAAGACCCCCTGTCCCAAAATAGTAAAGTCACTACAGAAAGACTAACCACAGGTCGAGATGGACAAAAAATCACAAGCTTTGTGTGGCTACGCCAGTTCCTCTGGAGGCAAACACTCAGACCATGCATTTTCACAAGGCTACCAAGACTCAGTTAAACACCACGTTGCCAAGATCAGCCCTGGCTCAGCCCTGGACACTTACCTTCCAGCTGAGCTTGCCTCTAACCCCAGCTTGGAAACAAGAACTGCTTCTGCAAGCCACCTCCAAAGTGGTGTGGGTTTAACCTGTAAGGCAGAGGTAACCCTGGATGACACTCAGGGAGGCAAGGCTAGGGCAGCCCTAGCAGACTGCTGTAATTATGCCGCTTTGGCTGACTGACTATTTTTTCACATGGACATGTAACCAACGAAAGCAAAAGGGGACTGTGAGGCAATACCTTGCAGTGCTTAGGCTAACGATGAGAGAGGAGTGCCATAGCCCTGGGACCCTGGTGTCCAGAAACATCTGGGATATACAAGAGACAGTAGATTTGGGAACTATGGGACAGAGGAAGCAGAAATTTCTACCCAGGTCCCTCACTGCAGGACCCTGTGCTCACACAGATCTCAGGGGTAGCTCAGACTTCCCGGGAAATATCCAGAATGGGTTTTTAACAATGCCAGGACCCACCCTCCAAAATCCTGTCTTGCAGAAAGGCCTCAAAAGAAGGTCCACAGCAGGGATGGGGCAGAAGTGTTGCTTCCTGATCTGTCCCTTGGACCGCTCTCCAGCCAAGGGCAGGAAGATCAGTGCCTCTTGGGCAGGCTGCGGGTGGGAACGGGCACCAGCTGCAGCCTCTGAGATGCCACCACAGGGCAAAGGGACGGTCACACCTGTGTGAACATGCCCCCAGGGATCTAGCCAGACTCCCCTCTCCAATGCAGCAACAGAGAGCATGCTAGGGCATGGCCGGTGCCTGGGTTAGAGAAGAGAGCCAGAAGGGAAGTGAGGACTATCCCAGGGAGCTTTCTTCCTCAGAAAAGGCATTTGTCAACACACTGGCCCAAACTCTTCAAAACAGGTCACTAAAACGCTACAGCAAACAGCAGCTGATGGCTCCAGAATGAGTCTATTGCTGCTCAAACAGCCAGCACAGCTAAGCAAACAGGCCACCAGGGTAGGGGCTGTGTTTGCACTCACTGTTTGCACTCCTCTACGCAGCTAATGGGATATTGCATTTATCCTAAGAAGGTTGTAAAAAAATAAATAAATAATTAAATAAGAGAAAGAGGGAGAAAAATGGCTTCCTGTTGGTCTCTTTCCAACTCCTTTTCTCGGTTTCATGTATTGGCCAACCTGCTATTTTAGAAGACAGATTTATCCCTTATTAGGTAAATTGGTAACTGTTTGCTCTAGAATGATTTTTAACAGTCCCTTCTAAAATAATGCCCTCTGGTGTCACACTACATCCACCCTGTCTTTGGTTATCTCTAGGGCTTTTTCTCCTGTGAGAATAGATATTTTATTGACACATAAAAGGGTTACAAGGCAGAAGGAAATGAATTATACAAAATTTAAAAGTAGAGAGCTAATAAAATGGTGGACTTGATAGATAAGGCAGGAAAATAAATCTAATTTGACTGTAACTCGAGTGCTTCCTGTTTATGAAGTAATAACTGTACTCTGGACTAAACCAGCGTTAACCCAGGACACAACTGTTATTTTGTCAAATTTGGCTGGCTCTAACAATTAACAAACGGTGGCTCAGATTTCAGCTTTGGTGCGGTGATTATTTTGATGCCTGTTGGGAAATAAGGCCATGATCTCCTTAAAGGGGACCTCTGTGAGGTGCTTTCTCTGAGAATTCCACGGAAGGGCTCTGGCACTGGCCAGGGAAAATGGCAGAGCTGTTTCCTGAGGACTGTGCAGTGGTGTAGCACTGCAGAAGTCATCTTCTTTGTTTTTAATTTCTTAATTTATGTCCTCAGTGGGTCCCCTTCCTCTTTATCTACCCAGCCAGAAATCCTCAGGCCCTTTAGAGAAACCACCTTAAAGCACTTTCCCTCGCTCCCCATAGGGAAGGGATGATGGAAAGGAGGAAGAAATGGACCCTTCCTTCCTATAGCATACTGTATTTTTGAGGAAAAATCCCGTTTAACAAGACAAACATGCAGGTCCTTTCTAGCAATAACAATACAGTCTAATTCCAATCTGAAGAGGGAAGCAGCATCCTTTCCTCTGCCTCTGGGACAAATGTTCCTGGGCTGGGGATACAAACGTTTCATCTGGGGACCAAAGACATCTGTTGCACAAGCACAGCACTTTGTTTCAGATCTCACAAATGTCCTTGTTCCGAGTAGGTCATTATATAATGGCTCTTGTTTTTTCCCATTGCCAAAAGGGTCCGGGGGAATATGTCATAACACCGTGGATCGCCTGCCCATGCAGTCCCTCCTGCAATCACCTCATCTGGGTGGGACTCTCTTGCTTGATGTCATTCAGCCCAGGGCAGCTCTTATCTGTGCAGCAAAAATACCCAGCCCTGACACAGTCTGCATTGTTTCCCCTGGTATTAGTCAAGCCGTGCCCAGGCTGGTGGGGCTCCCCACCATGTGAGGGGCTCCCCTCTCCTGCTCCCCCCGCCACCCCCAGGACATTCCTACCACCTCACCTCACCAGGAGCAGCCCAGCACCACACACAGCCCCTCTCACACACAGAGGGGAACAACACAACCCAGAGCAAGGCTGATTCTCCTGGATGACGTACAATGGTTGCCTTTATATTTCCCCTTTGTGTCTGTTATTTCCCTTTTTTCTTCCTGCCCTCCCATCCCACAGACGACTGTCGTCTTCCTCTGCTCCTTTTCCCAGCAGTCCCTGAATAACAAGAGCACAGCCCTCACCACAGCAAAAAGGAAGAAGGACTAGGGGGATTTAGCATTCAGCAAAAAGAGGAGCAAAGACCAGGTCTTTTTTCTTCTTATTTAGGCATCTAGAAATTGTCATGGGTCAAACTAGCTGCACTTTTCACCTTCCCAGGAACCTGTCCAGTTCTCAAGAGCTTTTCTGCACCAGGATGTGGCTGCATCTTTGGTTGGTTACAGCTGGTGCTTACACAAAAGTATCTAAACAGAGTAAAACAGGTTAGCAACATGCTTGTCCTCTGTTCTCTAGTGAAGATGGCTCCTGCCCTCTCATGGTTGAAGGCAGATATGTAAAACCGCTTGTTTGTTCTTTGCAAAGTAACACCAAATACCATTCCACACGTTTCCTTCAGCTGGCTCCACATAGTCTGGCATCACCTTCCTTTAACACACACACTGACGCAACTGGGAAACTCTTCTGGGGCAGAGACCAACCGGTTGTCACGGGCAAGTAGGCACTTAGCAAAGCAGGGTGGCAATCCTCAACGGTGGTCTCAAAGTGTTACCACACTACAAAGTGTAGGTAATACGTAAAGAAAGTCACTCACTTGCTCACCCTTTTCACACAGTGTTGGTCTTTTTTCCACCAATTCCACCCTTCCTGCATCCATCTGGCTCTAAGGAACAAGACTTGCATAGGTTTCTCTGATGCACCAAACAAGTTTTTGTCTATAGACTAAAGGCCGGGGTTGACAGTATGAATGAGGTGAAGTTGTCCACTACGTTCTCATTACCTGCTCACTCAGTTTTCCTCTCCCAAATCAATGAGCTTTTGTAGAGATTTGATCATATCATTACAGCTTCTCCTGGTTTGGTTCTTTCTTCCTTTTTTTTTTTTTTTTTCGGGTTTGGTTTTTTTTTTTTTTTTTTTTTGGATAAGATACAGACCATTTCTCATAACAGAATACAAATCTGTGAAAAGCCAGCTTCTCAGAAAAACTCCAGCTCATAGGCCACTGCCCTCTCACTTCCAAGTGCGAGTCAAGTCTAACACCCAAGCAGCTGTCCCACACACATGCCCATAGCATCACGCCCACACAGACCTCCCCAAGAATCACAGGCTCCCCCAGGGACATCCTTTTCCTTCAGAGCTGGCTTCCAGCTAGGAGACCTGTATTTCTCCTCAAAGTATGAAGGGAGGTAACATGAAATGCCCAGGGAACTGAAACCTAGAAGTGGCAGACAACCAGTTCTCTTGTTGATTTCCTGGCATTGTTTTCTATTTCCTGACCACTCAAAATACTTTGTTTTCATCCATCCCAAAATGGGCAACAGCAATTCCAATGTCTGAATGAAGTAATGCTCCTGAAGAGATCAAATATTTTTCTGAGCATCATAAAAGCAATGAGCATTAGCAAGAGCCATCTGGGCAAAGGTCTAGCTGCCTCCCTGGTGCCAGGTTTACCAGGACTTGTGCATGAGGAAACAGAAAGGGGTTGATTTGCTCTGGGTTGGGTTGGTCTGGGGAACTTCTGTCTTTAAATCACACAGTCCCTACTCTGGCCTCAGCTTCGTCTGTGTGGGTTTTAACTGACATTTTGCTATTCAGGCCCAGAAATTACTTCCGCTCACAAAGTATTCCTGTTCTTTTTGCTCTTGTCACTTTTTCACTGTATTTTGGCAATCAAGGTCAAAGTCGAGAACCAGCACGACTTCCGGGACATGGCCAGCATAGTAGCCATGGCAAAAACCTATGCCACCACCGAGCCGTTCATTGACTCCAAGTACGACATCCGAATCCAGAAAATTGGCAGCAACTACAAGGCTTACATGTGAGTGCATGGCTATGCTGGAGTGAGAAGTGGGGGGAGACAGTGCTGTGGATGTGATTCAGTCGGTGTCTGGTCTGGGCAGGAGTAGGAAGCTGACTTATTTTTTTTGAAGAATAGCCTTGCTGTTCTCCTCCCACCTCCTAACCCAGGTCCCTCATTCACCGATCCTCCTATCCATTACTCACCATCAGCTCATTGTTTCTGGAAGGTAAATCTCTCTACTTGGTTCTGAGAATCAGCTAGTTTCCACTGTAACAACTGTGCTCCGCCATCACCTATCACCTCTCCCTCCTGTTGTCGAAAGGCTCATCTTTCCCAGCAAAATCCTCCAGCTCCCAGTTCCCTCTAGTGGGAACTAAACCCACCCCCCTTCCCACATGAGGGAAACAATAAAAAAGATTGAGCCAGCTGCAACTCATGGACTCCTACAGTGTCCAGCCCATAGCAACACCACATCCTCTCCCCAGCTGGAGATCACGGCACCTCCATCACACAAGGACACGAGGAGCACGCAGTACGCGGTACGAACGGCCTCAACCCGGCCAGCACACGGGGTTTCTGGGGGCATTTTGCGTGTGTGCTCCTTGAAGTGTACAAAGGAGGGAAAGGAGAAGGAGAGACGTTTCTGTGGGTGCCCCAAAGCTCCTCCCTGCCCCGTGGGGTAGTGAAGGAGGTGACATGAAGGCAACCTTCAACACTGGTATGTTTAAAAATATTAAAAAGCGTTCAGCCAAAATTCAGTAGTCGTCAAGCTCCATTAAAGATGTAACCACATGAGTCAGAAAGACACCTGTTTCTTCTTACTGCAAACCAATAGATGAGAAAAGCCAAATAGCACAGATTCTCCAGAAGCTCCTTATCCAGCCACAAAATTCTGGTCAAGTAGACAGCTCCAGCAGTACATTCTTCAGATCACCAGATAAATTTCATATGTTATCTAACACCCACAACACTGAGTTTTGGATCCATGTTTACAACCCCCCAGGCCATCATTCTGGCAAAACATAGTTAAATAAGATAAATGTACATGATCACATATTTTTCAGTTATAGCTGCCTAAAATTCCCAGTTGGAATCGTAGCACAGAGGTATTTAAGTAAACTAGATAATGGCTGAGTCACATTCTTCATGGGAAGGACTTGTGGGACACTCGGCTACTTCATGTGAACTCAATGAGAGAAAATTTGTTTTAAATCTGATCAGGTCAACAATAGCACAGTTGCCTAATATTACATTAACATCTCAGGGAGTCTGGCTCAAATTGGGCAAAGGAAGGAAGGTTTAAAATATCAATTAAAATTCCCTATTCCTGCCAACCTACCCAGCCTTGGCTCCAGGGGCTGCTCCCAGCCTGCCTCTAAGTGAAACAAAGGCCCAGTTAGCCTGACCATATCCTCTCCCCGTTTATTATTCGCACTCACCACGCACTCATCCAGACAGGGATCAGAAACAATACCAGATGATTGAGGAAAGAAAGCAGTCACACTAAGAACTAATCCCACTCGGGAATATAGCTGTGCAAACAATTGTTTGCTAAATGAAAAATGTTTTCATGTGAAAACAGCCGTGAATGGGAAACACCTTAATGAGAAATGAGGCTTATTAGCAAAGAAAGCAAACAGCAAAATTTACCCAGCAACTTGCTAACCCAGAAGGTTGACTTATATTGAGACAGCCATTTAAGGACATAATCTTGGGAGAGAGATATAGTCAGTCCCATTGGGAGCTGTTCCTTCTGTCCCAGTATCAGAAGAGAGGTTATTTCTATGGCATAAGTAAGGCCCCACTATGTCCATAGGCAAAAGCACCCAAAATATCAGAGTCCCCACTCATGTCTCAAATAGAAGACTCAAAACCATTAGTCATGCTAGCAAATCTCAGGCCTAAAGGTAATTACTGCATCTGCAGCAGCGTCATACTAAGTGAATTGCTTTGATCTGTAAGCCATGGAATCAACCCGGTATTTTTATACCTTCACCCACACATATAGACTTTAAAAGCCCCCTTCCTCCTGAGAAAAGACTGTGTACTGAAATTGTCCAGAATATGTTTACTTTGCACCCAGCATCTGCCAGAGGGAGGATGCTGCAGGGTGACTCATGCATTCCTCCCCACCCCAGATGTTCAATGCACTTCCTTCCAGCCCGTGACCCAAGGCTTGAGTTCAGTTTCCCATTGACTTCAGTGCAGTGACTCCAGATTTACACTCCTAACAAACACCTACTTAGCACATGACTTGGGACAGTCTCAAAGCAGCAAACAAGCAGCATGTGACATATGCCTAAAATTCTACCAAATGTATTTGAATGTCATTGTAATACTGGTGAAGAGGGAACACAAGTACTGCTCATGTGACAGGGGAAATTGGGGCAGAAATTATGCTTCCACCATCACCCCAACTGGGGACAGACAGAGGGATCATTTCCAGTAAAGACTTGTGAAATGTTGTTCGCTCTGAACAAAGCCAGCAGCTGCTGACTGTCGGGTGGGATATTCCTTGCCACCAGCTCTCAGTAGGAGGGTAATATCATTTCCTTTCTAGTTTCATGAGTGTGATTTCTGATCTTGTCACCTCAAGTGCAGTTCAATGGGCTCTGCAGGGGCTACACCAACTGTGTCTAAACTAGAGCTTCTTTTAGACTGAAATGGTCCAGCTTGGAGATTGTGAGCATAGGACACCGACAGGCCACAGTCTGCCAGTCTATCCATTTATCCTGAGCAATGCTGCAGGTGTCTTGGTCACAAGTCTGATTGATCAACCGATCCCTAAAAGCCTGGGATCCTTTCCTTTAAGATACTGACTGTGCACTGTTGTAGCCCGGGGTGGGTTGACCCTGCCTGGATGCCAGATGCCCACCAAAGCTGCTCTATCCTTTCCCCTCCTCAGCTGGACAGGGGAGATAAACTATAACAAAAGGCTTGTGGGTTGAGATAAGGGCAAGGAGAAATCACTGAGAAACTACTGTAATGGGCATAACAGACATGACTTGGGGAAAATTAATTTAATTTATTACCAGTCACATAAGAAACAAAACCAAATCTTAAAACAGCTTCCTCCCACCCCTCCTTTCTTCCCAGGCTCAACTTCACTCCCAATTTTCTCTACCTCCTCCCTTCCAGCAGTGCAGGGGGACGGGGAATGGAGGTTGTTCAGTTCATCACCCATTGTTTCTGCTACTCCTTCCTCCTCAGGGGAAGTACTCCTCACACTCTTCCCCTGCTTCAGGGTGGGGTCCCTCCCACAGGAGACCATTCTCCACAAAATTCTCCAACATGAGTCCTTCCCACATGCTGCAGTTCTTCATAAACTGCTCCAGTGTGGGTCCTCCACGGGGTCACAGGTCCTGCTTCCCACGGGGTCACAGACTCCTTTGGGCATCCACTTGCTCTGGCATGGGGTCTTCCATGGGCTGTGGGTGGACATACGATCCACCGTGGACCCCCATGGGCTGTGAGGGGACAGCATGCCCCACCATGGTCCTCACCACGGGCTGCAGGGGAATCTCTGCTCCAGCACCTGGAGCACCTCCTCCCCTCCTTCTTCACTGACCCTGGTGTCTGGTTGTGTTCCTCTCGCATATTCTCACTCCTCTCTTCTGGCTGGCGTTGTGCAGCAGTTTTTTCCCCTCACCTTCTTAAATATGTTATCCCAGAGGCACTACCACCGTCACTGATGGGCTCAGTGGTGGGTCAATCTTGGAGCCAGCTGGCACTGGCTCTGTTGGACATAGGGGAATCTTCTAGCAGCTTCTCACAGAAGCCACCCCTGTAGCTCCCCTGCTACAAAACCTTGCCATGCAAACCTAACACACCAACAGCCCATGGTCTGCCAGTCTATCCACTTATCCTAAGCAATGCTGAAGGTGTCTTGGTCACAAACCTGATGGATCAACTGATCCCTAAAATCCTTGGGTCCTTTCCTTTAAGTGGCTCCCTGATGTTTAGGATGATTGGAAGTACTTTGACTTTCAGTCCCTGAGAGAAATGGGGTTTAAGTCAGGGCATCCTTAGGGAAAGATTTTTGTCTTCAGTCTCCTTTGCCACTTTAGGTTGAATACAAAAAGGGAAAGAAAAAAGAATAATAAAAATTCGGTGGCACAGCGGACACTGGAACCACCCAGACATGCTTGGAAGGGAGTAATCTTAACAGAGGCTGTGGTGTAGGAATTTGGTGACTTGTCCATAGGGCTTCAAATGAAGCTTTTCCATTTAAAAACATGAAAAGTCCCTAACAGGAAAGTTAAGGACACAGCTGAGAGAAACATTTTCTATCTTATGCCCAATATTGGATGGACATAGGTAGGCATGAACAAGTCAAACCAATCAGCCCAACAGCTAAAGCAGCATACTTATTTTGGGAGCTTTCCCACATCATATTTCCTTGTAAAACTATAGCTGTTGTTAGGTTTAGTTAGGAACGACACAGCTACTTACATTTGGTATGGCAAGTACATTTTCTAAACACTCATACACAATCTTATTATGAGTAATCAGATTCTGGGAGTTCTCGTCAGTACTAATGGGGTTCTGGATGCCACCTGCCACTGCAGGGAAATTTTCTGAACCTAAATGTTACTAAAGAGTAGTTCTTCCCATTGCAGAACTGAAAAATGTAATCCTAAGAATCTCATGTCAAAAGACAAAGAGAGGCTGAGGGTTGAACACTGACCTTAGAGGCCATCAAAGGGGGGCTCATAACAATCAAAGCTTGAGGAAGAATCCATTCTTTTGCTTAGAAAGTAGGGCAGGAAGATGGGTGTTGGGTGAAGGGAACAAGGGACAAGAATAAACTATATGGAAACACAGTTACTCAACACAGTAATTATGCTCCTTTGCCTGCCCCTCCCACTCCTTTAAATATGGTTACAAAGACCATTTAAATTTCACAACAACTATACATACTACTTTAGAAGATAAATGGAAAAAGAACTCCAAGCTGTTCCTCACCAGAGTAAAGGGGAACCTTAGGTAGTCAACTATAATAATCCAGGTTTATCGTCCAGCAGGTATCAGTATTACCAGTGCCTCAGATAGTTTTGCAAGTCCAGCCTCTTTTCCACATCATGATGAAAAGGTGAGAGAACTGTCAGTGAGGGTTCCCACAACCTCATGTTGAAGTGTTGGATCACACCTCATTGTCCTCTCCCAAATCTCTACCTAATCTTCTTCAGCATGGAGATGCTCCCTGGATGTATCTTGTCAGCTTGTTAACTTGTCCTAGATAGTACACTATGCCAGGGTTATCTGCACAGTGTTGTCACAGCAGGCTGTCCAAAGTCTGATATGTACCTAAGGTCAAGAAAAAGAAAGTTTTCACTCCTTGATAAATGATGGTGAAACCCAGAATCTGCCAGCAACAGTACCTTTTTTTGAAATTAACCACCATTTGCAACTAATGAGACTCCAACAATTTTGCAATTAAAAATTCTCCAAGTCCAGAAAGGTCAATGAAATGTCAGTGAAAAGAGAGTATAATCATACATTCTATGGCACCAATACAACTGAAATCAGAGTGAGGGAGACCCAGAATGTCAGAGCTGACATTTGTAAAGCTGCTGAGGCAGATGTTTGCCTGGAGAGTTGCTCTTCCACGGATGGATGATGATGCCCATTGCAGAACACAAGGGTGATTATCCCAGAGACCTTCTACAGACATTTCAGCTCTCCTGGGCCTGATTTATAAAGAAAGAAAGTACTCACAGAGCTTGATGTATACTCAAGATTCCTTGGAGGTTTCCCTGTCTAAGTCCTCATTCAGTTTTTCATGAGTCTGAACAACATATCCTGTATGCAGTGTTGTTGAGGCAAGATTTGGAAAGGCTTGTGTGAGGAAGAACCTCACCTCATCCCCTCCTGTACAAGCACTGAGTCAAGAATGAGGACTACAGTATGAGGGAGGATGGGGCAGGAGTGTATTTTCATGTTCAGGTTATGTTTTTTGTTTGTTTTCTTAGGAGGACGTCCATCTCTGGAAACTGGAAGGCAAACACAGGTTCTGCGATGCTAGAACAGATTGCAATGACAGAGAGGTAAGGAAGAGGGTTTCAAGACACTATTACCTATTCTTGGGTTAGAAGGAAGGAATTGTTTTTCAGACTTTGGTTAATCGAGAGAACTGGTAAGTGAGTTCTCCCGGGAGTCTGGATAAAGGCATTTAAAAGACTGACTGTTTCCTTAAAAAAATACCAAGGGCACAAAGGCAAACTGTCCTATTTTGGAGAACAGACTGGAAGTACAGCTAGAGACCAGCATTGCTAAATCATTAGATCTTTGGTGAATGTAGCCACAGGAAACAAGACCATCATGCTAAGGTCAAGTACACGAGCACAGACATGTCGGGATAAAATCAGAAACGTCACAGGACAAAACAAGAAGTAACAAGAAGTTATTCTAAATACATTACTAGTGAGAGCCAGACACAGAAAGGTGCTTTTCTTCTGCTCAAAAGGGGGAAAAATCTGTCAACTGAAGTGTTGAAAGTGCTTTTTTGCACTGGTCTCCTAAAAGTGGACACTGTTTTAGCTAGGTTCTTCTCACTGCAGAACAGAACAGAAGGAATTCTCTCATGCATGTTACAAACTAAAAGTTGCAGATGGTACTTCCATATGTGATCAAGTTTCTTGTTCTCCATCATATCTAAGTAGATTATCTGTAGATTTATAGAATCCATAGATTATGTGTAGGCACTCATCCCTCATGATTTTTTCAGATTATACCTTCAATTTGTCAGGATCATAATTAATTTTGACTCTGTCAAGGTTTTGGCACCACATCTGAAAGGAGACAGCAAGGAGCTAGAGGGAGCCCGAAGGACAATAATAAAGGGAATGCTCAGAGAAAACATAATCAACTTATGAGGAAAGCATGAGTCAATTGCTTATGTAGTTTTCCACCTTTTTCAGTTAACAGACCACCAATAATTTCCCGGCAATGGTGTAGACTTATCCATAGTGAATCTACGTCTGCAGTGCAGAGGTTCACTTCCCTTCATCAGCTGTCACAGAGCTGGAAGAAGTTGTCCACAACCTGAACACCACTTCATCCTAAAGATGAAAAAACTTAGAGGGCACAGGCTCTTCAAATATGTAAAAGGCTGCTAATAGGGTGTTGCCTACTCTTCATATTACTGGTACAATACTGTAAGAAATAATAGGCTTACATTATAGCAGAAAAGGTTCATTTGAACATTTTTCTTTATTTCCTAACAGTAAAGATAGCATAGCACAGAAATAGATTGCCCAGAGGAGATGGGGAATCTCTGTGCTCTTTCAGACCAGATTAAATAAATGTCTCCTCTTTGCGCTACAAGAATTGTGCAGGTGATCATCTAAGGTCCCTTCCGCACCTTTATTTCCATGAAACAGGGAAGCCAAGCCAAGCCCCAAATCAGATGCTGAAGGTGACTCTGCAAGACCCTAACAGGACTGTGGGAACTGGACATTTATAGACATGGTTGTTTATAACACAGCTGAAGCTAGAGAGACAAAGGGTAGACATTCCCTCATTGCAGTGTTGTAGGTCTAAACCCCAGATTCCTGCCAGCTCGCCAGGCTGCATTTTGAAGGTTCATTTTATAGAGGTAGTACCACAGTTCACCGCTCTAGCCTTATCCAGACATTAATACAATAAATCCCATTGAAATCTGTGAGTCATCAGTGCATGCCACAGGGTGGGAGCATGCTGAAATGCTCTGATGAGTCGGAGCAACCTGAAGTACCTACTCTACTGAAGAGTAGCCCAAAGGACTGACGTGTTCATGTAATACTAGGGAAAATGTCAGCAAATCCTCTGCAAATGCTACCCCTGATGCATACTCATAAATACGCTCTTCTGTCCCAGATCACTGCTATTCTACCCCAGCAGCCCCGACATCTCCCAGGGCTCACCTAGGGCCAACAGCATTGAAGACATGTAGCTTCGGGGTCTCTGGCATGATCAACAATTCCCTGAGCCTGGCTGCTGGACCCAGACACCTAGAGACATCCCTCAGGAAGAGAGTTGATTCCCACAATGGTGCCCCTGACTGGGGGGCCACAGCAGTGCACAATGGGGGCTCGCCGTGCCTCCTGCCTGCTTCACAGGGTCCATAGTCTTTCTCTTTCTTATGCTACTGACTCATCCTCAGGCACTGCCTTCCTCAGGGGAGCTGGGGTGAACATGCTCATTAGGGGTAAGAGAGCACCAGTAGCTGTATAAGCCATATTCTTGCTTCTTCCCCCAGGCATTTTGCTCGCACAAGTTGATCATTATATTGTCAAACTATGGGGACTCTGGCTGGCTTCAAGGACATAAACTTGTTCTTTGGCCAGAACAGCTCTTTTCCCAGTCCCTGTAGGGTCTGCAAAATGTCAGTGTTTTCATGAGACTGTGGCCTTCCCTCCCTTCTCCGCATCTTGTCATAGTCCTGCTTACAGATCTACTGTTCCGAGATTATTATTTTTATTGAAATGGTTGGGACTGCAGCACAGCTGCACAGGAACTAAAACCAGGCCACCTCATTCCTTCCTCATTTCCACAGTGGGGGGATGTGGTCGCCCCGTAATATGTCTCTTGTCATTCTCTCTCATCCTCTGACACCAGGATAGCTAAGGGGGCACCAGCTCGTGTTCCCATCCTGGGACAGCTAGGGCTGCAGCCTGTAGCTCTCCCTCTAAGAAAATAGTGCCTGGTCCATGTGATGGGATTGCCTGGGTAGGAGCAACACCTAGGGGATAGAATGGAGGCAGGAGACTGTAAAAGGATGAAATTGAAAGAATAAATTGTAAAAAGCAGGAGTCCCTGGGTTACAGATCAGGGAGGGGATGGCTGCTCCTTGCTAAATTCAGCACTCACTTTCCGATCCTATTCCAGCCCCAATGTGCAGGACATCTTATCAGGACAAAGCTGCCTGCATAATCAAGGGCTTTCAGGCAGAGCCAATACAAACGCTAAGGGGCCAACACTACTGGGAGATTAAATGAGCTAAATATTTATAGCTTGGCTAAATGACAACCATCTAGACATCTGATGTAAATACCAAGGAGGGAAAGAAACATTTTAAGGTGGCTTTGAGGGGAGGATTGAAACAATCTGAAATGAAGGGAAACTTTAGGCAAGATTCTTTTTTTGGTTTTTTTGCTCCATCTTCTGTGCAAGAAAGGGAGGCAATGACCCAGCAAAGCATATGAAGTATGCCTTGTGATAAAAAGGGCTCCCAAAACTCTTTGTGCTCCTATGGGCAGTGGGAGGGGTGGCTGTATTTGGTGGACTACCCAGTGACAGCTAATCCTAGGCCATGCTTCTGTGGTTTCTGCAGGTACAGACTCTGGGCGGATGCCTGCGCAGAAATATTTGGAGGTCTTGACATCTGCGCTGTCAAAGCTGTCCACAGTAAAGATGGAAAAGACTATATCATTGAGGTGAGAGCATGGGGAACCTGAATGCAAGTCTGCTTTGGGAAGTGTATCTGCAAACACACTGCCTCGGAGTTCACATGCACCAATGTGCTCGCTTGCCCGTGTGCCTGGTCTAGCAGTCCCTCCTCCTCCGTGCCCACCTGTATCCTCCAAAATGTGGCCCGCTGATATGCAAGAAACTGATTTAGTGTCCCAGCTAAATTGGCAAATATGCAGCAAGGTGTTAGGGTTGAAGTGCTTTCATTTCTCCATGTGAACTGTGAAAGGAAACAGAGAGCCACAGACTGTTTGGCCACCCCAGCTTTCCAGCTGATAAACCCCCGCAGTGCAGAACCTTACCAGCGTAGGACAGATGTGAAGCTGCCTTCTTATCGAGTGCGTAACAGCCTGCAAGTGCTGCTGGCAGTGTCCAAAGTTTGGTGTGTCTCAGTGCCCCAGTAGCATCCTTCCTAGGCTAAGCACTTGCAAAGCCAGAGCATCTCTCATAGCTGCTGGTAGGGATTAATGGCATCATGAACAAACATGCTTATATTCAGCCCAACCTGCATTCAGGTGCCAGATGATGCTAGCATATTAGTCATGTTAACCTTCCCCCATTACCCACACACAGGTCCAACAGGTGATTCAGTCCATTAAAAATCTCGGTTTCTCTCTGAATTAACCTGTCTTTCCCCAATCACTTTAAAGGGAACCTCAGTAACAGAAATCCTGTCTGCATCTAATTTAAAAGAGTAAAATAAATGGTGAGAGTAGCAAAAAGGTCCATAAATAGCAGAAACAATTTCATTTACAAAACACGTGTATTTTCCAAGACCTTTTGCCTGGACAACATTCACTACAATAACAGACCAGCCAGACAAATCACCACAGAGTTAGTATGGGCAGTGTGGACTACAAACTTTTGTGTTCAGAGCTGGACGGACTGGTTCTGAGAGCTAAAGTTCCACATGCCCCTTCACAGGCCAGGAGGCAGACATAGGGGTGGGGTAAATAGCACATTTGGGTCATCCTAACAGGGCAGAAAAGGAAAAGCTGGCCAGAAAATCAAAGTGGAAACTTAAGAGACGCTCTGGGGGAGAGAAAGATCTGGCAAGTAAGCAAGTGCCTCTGTCACTGTGTGACTCAAGGAGGCACAGCATCTGACCTGCCGTAAACTCCACCGACACAGGCCGGCCGAGGAAGATGAGCAGAGCCAGCCTATGGCTCCATGCAGGGGTGCTGACACACTGGAAAGCTATGTGTGGGGGAGCAGTCCCACCCGCTGAGGGTTGGGATGCTGATGAGAACCACATGAGCCCTCCAGCGACTGCACATTCCTGCATTATGTATCCCCTCTCTGGGGAGCAGTGACCTGTCAAAGGCCATGTGATGTAAGCGTGCTGCCAGCAACTAAATGCTGGCGAGCCTTCGCCTTTCCTGAAGTGTTGGGGCCACAGCTGACAGGTCTGCTCCTGTAGGCAATTCATGAGCACCTAGAGGAGTATCCCCCAGAGCAGACTGTCTTCCTGCCACGCAGTTTTATATCTCTACGCACATGTAGCTGAAAAAGGAAGAGCAAGAGAGCAGTCTTGCTAGAGACGACTGTAAGGACATTTGGACTGTGTCCATACATGGTCAGCCGTGAGATATGGTTTTCATATCCCTGCATCTATTCTTGTACATAAGCCTCTATACGTGCACACATGGCTAATTCTGTGATTAAGGATTACATGCTTGTCTGAGTATACCTCTGGGTTTTCACATCTGCCCCCCGTGTGTGACTGACTGGATGAAAAGCACATCCATTTCACTGACAGTCATCATCACCCTGCACACAGAGGGAAATGCACGCTAACTCCTCTCTGAGAGCAAGGTAAAAAGCAGTGGATCTAATATGACATGATTCAGAAGAAACACAACAGCTTCAGATGGGTCACGCTGAATTATCCCAGTGGAGAACCTGACTGAGCAGGCCTGATGTACCAACATCTAGCAGGCATTCAGATGCCAGGCTGACGGACATTGTCAGGAAAGGAGGAGGGTAATGCAACACAAAGAGCAGAACAAAGCCAAATCGGCACCTTTTCTACTTTATGCAGATCTGAGGGACATGCTGACAAGTAATTAATTGCCTCCAGCCTACTTCCTGGGGTACTTTTCTTGGTCTGCAACTGATCCTTTATTTTGCTTTTTTCTTTTGATAGTAGGAGAAAAAAGTTATTTGACAGTGCAACAGTTGTATTTTTCTTGGTCAGAAGGAACAGTGTGCTGTGACATTTTACAAGAAAGCATGCCTAAATGGTCTGAACAAATAAGGAATTTGCACAATGCGATTGCGGGCAGTAATTAATTTTCACAGGGCAAAGCAGTTCTCTAGGAAAGATTCGCAGAGGTAGTGATGGCAGTCCTATGAACTGAGATTTATCACAGTGGTTTGTTGCAAACAGAATCAGATTAAGACAGATGAGTTATCAACACAGCACAAGAGCAATCTTGCACCTATGGCATTTGCTGTTACTTGAACTTCACCGTCTTTTCTTTTTTCCATGGCAAACAGCAGAATCTAGCATTTCTGTCCTTCAAAGCACTAGCACACTTATGCACATTTGCATGGCTCACGTTGGAAACTTTGAAGAAATCAGTAAATTTAATCCTATTAAAACAGCTGTGGATTTAATGATAAATGCGGGTACTTCTTTTTCCTCTGCTATAAAGAACTTTGTCATTTTAAGGGAATATTCAGTATGAATAATGAGCACTTGATCAGAAGGCTAGATCCTGAAAACAGGGCAAGTTCAGTACAGCTGTTAGCAGCCAGATTCTCAAAAAAAAAAGTTCAGCCATGTGTATGGTTTAATAATCTCCCCATTTCCTTTTTTTTTTTTTTTAATAATCTAACCCTTTCCCACATCTCTGTTGTGCTGACAAATATGGAGCAAGTAGAGGACAAGTAATATGATCCATGTGATTTATTCTTCCTCCTGGATCAGCTAAGCCCTACCTGCCGTACAGCTGAGCTGTGTTGCTAGACGTGTTCCTTGCTGCCCTGCAAGAAGCCCTGCCCATCCCTTCAGCGCTGCCATATAATTTCTTTTGATACATCTAATCATCTGCTTCCTTCTTTCCTTCCTTCCTTCCCTAAAAATCACATAACACTCTGCTCTTGCACATCAGAGCACGGAATAACAAGTCCAGCCTTCAGGCCTCAGCATCTGATAGGTGCAGGAGGAAGACTGGGATGGGGTTTTCCTGAGTCTCTTCTCTGCCCAGCTGCTTTCCGCTCCCCCCTCGTACACCTTATCAAGCAACAGCAGCTGCATCAGGAGCAGCCACCGACCTTGGGCAGCTACAAAGGCTGGGTCCATATGTGCCAACGTCTTCTTGTCTTGCCCAGCTGTTCTATGATCTCCCTGGGAAGAGATGAGCGCAATCTGCCTGTGATTCCCATATTCCTCTCAGCCGTTTGATTTATTTCGGCACTGGAAATTCATATCTGCCCGGTTCCAGAGCAATTCCCCTTTCCCAGAGCACAGACGAGGTGACACCTCGTGTTCCTTTTCAGTTCAGTGACAATCAGCTGTGTCATTCTGACCACAGAAATCACTGCCCGTTTTCAGAGGCCTTCCTTTATGCACGTGCTTGCTCATTCCCGTATTTGCAGCCCCCCACAGCTCCCATTCCCTGGCCAGACACCACACAGCGGGACAGCAGACACCCTCATCCCTGGCGCACCTTCACTGGCTCAGGTGGGACCTGCTCCAGACTTCATTACCCCTGGTGCCTTTGCCTTATAAAACAGCATCTTCTCCTTCCTCTCTAGCCACTGCTGCCACAGAAATAGGGGAAAGCAGTCCTGAAGATGGGGAAATGAGGGGTTTGGAGTGCTGTGAGGGGAGCTGCCTCCCAGGGAGGGCGAGGGTGTCAGGAGCTGGGCTTGGCTGGGCCAGGCTGTGAGCATCATCTAGTGGTCACAGACATCCCTCACACGGGGCGATGCAGGGAGCTGGGAGACCTCTCCTCTCACTGGAGGTGAACTGGAGTTGCCAAATGAAATGGGAATGGCCTTTAAACCCATTTAAAGCGGAGGGGGTGGCAACCTGCGCAGGAATCTGATGGAGAGCCCCCAGAAGCCCCTGGCTTAGTGAGACACACGGACCAGAACTGGCCGTTTCCTGACGCTGCCAGGAAACACCTCCTTTCCCCACCTCCTTTTTTAACAGAGAAAGAGCAAAGTGGAAAGTGGAATAAAAAGCCACTTTGCGTATTTATCTGAGCACTGCCATCTAATTTTCCAACCTCCTTCTTTTGCCCCCCTGGGTCAAACAGGCCAGGGGTATAAACACCAACTCACTCTTCATGCAAACTCCAATTAAACCTCCCTAGGCAGCTTCTCCAGTGTTCATATAAGACACCTATGAAAATTAATCCAAATAATAGTTATTCTGCAAGAAGAGACTAGAATACAAACTCGATGAACTCACCTCATTGATTTCCCTTGCTTTAAATCTAAAAAAAGGGTGCAAAACTTTCAATTTCACTCCAAGAGTGGACTCTTGCAGCCTTGACAGGGTGGAGTGCACTCCTGATTGTTATCGGAGCATGAGTCAGTGCCTTTCTTGAGCAATGCAACCCTTAACTCTGTATTTCCAAGGATTTTAATGTTTGGTTTAAAAATAAAAGCAAAATAAAATAAACTCTTCCAACCCTGATATTTTGGTGCAGTTATATTTACTCCAGCTGAATCTTAACTTCATCACAGCACAGTTCTTCCTGTGGGATTTAGCCAATGTTTGCAAAGCACTTGATTTATGATGAACTGTTGAAAATTATGTTTAGGGCTTCTATGCAGCTGAGGGTCTGCTCTGCATTGATTATTATTGTTGTTGTCAGACCTTAAAGACTCTTTGACTGTTCTCCTTCCTCCCTCCCCACAGTCTTGCTTCCCAGATTTCCCCAGCATAGTTATAGTACTTGCTTGGGAAGCAGTCGTATCACAATGATAACAAGATAAACAGAGAATAAGTTTACTTTCCTGCACTGGGTGCTGTTGTTTGGGTGGCATCCTATTCATTACACATCTGTGGTTTTTATTTCCCCTCTTGGGGTGCAGTGCTTTTCATTGATTAATCCCAAATGTTTCCTGGCTTTCTCCAGACTTTGTTGCTCTCACCTCCTCAGGCTTCAGTACATGTTGCTTCCCTTATCCTGTGGCCCTTTCTGCTGCAATGTCACCCCCAAATACTGTGGGACAATGCCAGAGACACCTCATACATCAGAGGCATCTCCTCAGGACATGTGAAGAAGCAAGTTTGTGTTTAGTTGATTTAGAAAGTCTCCAGCCACCAGAAGTCTTGGCTTGGCTTCCAAGTTGTGAAGGGAAGGAAGATGGGGAGTAGGGGGAAGTACATGCCATTTCCAAAAATCCTAAGTGAAATCACACACCTAGGAAAGTCAAGCATGTTTCAGCATGGAGGGGGTGAGTGACTAGAGGTGTTGGCAAGGATGTGGAGACACAAATCAGGTTAATGTGAGAGGTGAATTGAAACAGACATCTGCCACCAGGAAACCTCCTTACTAACTGTTGTTTTTCCCTTCCTATGGCAGGTGATGGACAGCTCAATGCCCCTGATTGGGGAGCACGTGGAAGAAGACAGACAGCTTATAGCCGATCTGGTTGTTTCCAAAATGTCTCAGCTTGTCATCACTGCTGGATCTACACCATCACCGCTGAGGCCTTGGGTATGAGTGAATAGAGACCTTATAGCCAAGTTGTTTTCCTGAACTTTTTTCTCTCTCTCTCCTCCCTGTATGTGTCAGGCAGTCAGACATCTCAGAGAGTTGAACAGTCCTATATGGGAGTGTAGTGGATAGATTGAATCCTGCTCTTCCAAAGTAGTCTCTCTCATAGACTCTTTGAAGTGGGTGCCCCTTTCTCTCCTTCCATCTAACAGTGGCACCACACTGGTAGTGTGGGTCATGCACCTAGACATTCTGGCTTGTTAAATTCGTAGATTTATATTGTAGACAGCCATTTTTAGAGCTGCTTGTAATACCTGACTTCATCTCCATCTAACACTGTCCCTCAGGATAGGTTTCATTCCAGAATCTGTGCTTCCCAGAACAGAAGGTGGGAATCTCCACCAAGAGTTACTCCATTCCTTGCTGCAGCATTTCTACTTTGGAGATGCCCTTCACTCCCTGCATCAAGAGGAAGTTTGACTAATGCTGAATTCATATAAGAACTCACCATTTTTGCATTTGAACTGACCCCTTAGTGCTTCTCATGCACCTTCTTTTTGAGTATCATCTAATCTTAGTGCCACATTTATTTCCCAGTGACAGTTCTGTATAAATGAAACACCCCAGGACATGATCCATGTCTCCAGGTGTATGTGCTACATCTCTTTCAGTATCTAGCAGGGAGCCAAGCACGAAGGTTTGAGGACAACAAATCTGTATAAAAGAAAGGACAGGAGAATAAACAGGCTGACGGATAATACTGACTGCCATGCACTGGAACAGTTTCCATTTCCACTTGAGCCAAAAAACTGGGAGAAAGCACTTTATGGCTCTCTGCCTTTGTCATGTGACAGCCCAGTCCTGCTAAACCAGGTCCCCAGCATGAAGGCTATTCAGGGTAACTCCAAGTTTCAGCTAGAGTGAGGCGGTAAACATTTAATAGACACTGAAAATGCCTTGAGGCAGGGAAACAGGTACAGAAGGGACAAGATTTACTCTGGCCAAAGTGGAATCAACAACTGCTGTCTGAAATAACCAAGATATAGAGTGTATAAACTAAACAAAGGGGAAGCCAACAGAAACTGAGAACATGGACAGATGCATCTCTTTTCTGTGTCTGTAATATACTAACACAGGTCTGGACTGGATTACAACAGACCTAATAGGGCCAAAATAAGAACAAAAAAAATGGTCATGGAGGGATTGGATGTCTAATAGAGGAGTTAAACAAGAAAAGGGTCTTCATCGAGAATACAACTTATAAATATCTGTATACAAAATCAAGAAAATCAAAACCACAGATGTGTTAACTAGAATGCTTTGCTATAGAGAGAGACTTTGGTACAATGAACATTGCAGGTACTGCACAAGCTACAATTACTAACATAGTACTGTAACTCATAGCTACAGATGTGTAGAGACAAGTAGTTACATGTGAGGCTGGTGAGATGCAGAACTAAAGCTACAAGCGAAGACTTCCACAGAGCAAAGAAAAGCAACAATTCTGAATACAATGATAGCAGTACTGAATACATAAGAAATATGAACCTTTGGATATCCTACAAGTATGCATAGAATATCTATACCTATTTTTGGAGCTGTATATAGTAGTCACTGGATCAAGAAAAACAGAAATTACGAAACTGAGTACACAGCATTGACAGAGATGGAAGAAGCAACAAGTCATAATAATGTGAGACTGCAGCTATCAAGAAGCAAGTCAAATAACACCGCAGGACGGCAATTCAGAGAAGAGAAGGTTCCCCATCTCTGTAGGTGTCTGCTTTCTGCAACCGCAAAATCCACGTGCAACAGGAAACACCTTGACATAGCCTTAAGAAACAACCAGGTACAAATTCAGAAAGTGAATAGGTACCATTAGGTTTGATGTCCAAGGGACAGATGTGGTATCAAAAAGTAATGATATGACACAAGCAGTTAGAAAAGATGATTTTAATAAAATGAGAAAATTAATCAACTCTCTAGCATTAGAAGTAAAACTGTATGGGTGTTATTTCAGAGACCGTTGTGTTACAGAATGCATATACACGTTTCTGATCTGCTCCTGAACCAGGAATGCAAGAAATAAACTTCTACAGTTAAGTGGCAAAGTGATAGAGAACATTCAAGACAGAAAAAAAAAACATCTTCCAAATTTGGAAAACTGACATTTAAGAAGACCTTTATACACCATCATGCAAGTAAGAAAAGAAAACACAAAAAAGGATATAAATTGATTTTGAAGAGCAGTTAGAGGGAAGAACGAAACAAATTCTTTAAGTTCATGAGAAGATGGTACCTTACCAAAGAATTGGTGATCTCTATGGATCATCTGAAGTTAAGAGAGAAAGGGAAGACAAGAGCGACAGTGTTGTGACTCGAGTAATTTAATTGCTGAAAGTGAGAAACTTCTTAAACTAGATACAGTTTTTTCTGATCAAAAAGACAGGGGAAAGAACAAAACCAGTGATTATATCAGTGATGACTGATATTTTCAAAAATTTTTAAGCCCCCAGACCCAGATGGCTACATCCAATGAACTGAATTTAGGAAGTGACTAAGCTGCCAAGAAAAAATGTGCAATTTCATTAGAAACAGTTATTGCTCCAGAGGATTGGTGTACAACAAATACAAAATATGTGTTTAAAAAGTTGTAAGAGTAATGTAGAAAAATGTAGGCAAGTTATGGACTTTACAAATTATCTCAGACAATAATTTAAAGAATAACACAAAAGACTAATAAAGCAACAGAACCACACCTTAAAAGCATCTACCACTTTTTTTTGGAGAAGAAGAATGTCCCATTAATTTCCTTCTGATTCTTTTCCCCTCATTTATTTGCGAATTCTTTCACAAAGTGGTAGATAACAGGCAATCAGTCAAAATAATGTAGCTAGACTGTCAAAAAGCCTTAGGCAAGGTGACAGAAAAGAACTGTTAAAGAAAGCAGGCAGGGAGGGGCTACAAGGCAAAGTTTCCTTGTGGAGCAGAAGCTGGCCTCAGATAAAGGTATGAGGGATGTTAATTCTTGCAAAGTTAGCAGAGGGGATACTTACAGAATGCTAAGCCTGGTCATGTTGATAATTGTATCGGTTGAGCCCAGGACAGGATAAGATGTTAATGACAACCTGGTTTCATGGTTACAGCTGCAGTTCTCTCCTCATCTCTCTGTCCCACCTCCATCCTTTCCCCTCACTGTTTTCCTTCCAAAGGCAGAAGACCTTGGGTTGGCCCTCACCATTTCACCTTTGACCCTCAAAATCCTGTTTTGCCTTCATCTCTGAGAAGCCTTGGGTTTGTTGTAGGCAAAGGCCACCGAGACGAATATGAGATCTGATACCTTTTATTTAGCTGGTCTAATCAGGATGTCTCACAGCATTAGGTCAGTAAATAACCACCAACACGAAGACAAGGTTTAGTGTCCCAAGCTATGGAGGACTAGAAGCCATGAATGGAAAATTCCCAGATTTTTCCCCCCTGTCCATTTACAAGTCCCAGATAAAGTGTGAGAAATACGGGCTAGCAATGTCATCACATTTAAGTTAGTCAGCTGAAACTCATTTCAACACTTCCAACTTTGAAACATTTCTTCCTATTTCCAGAATCACTTAGCTCATGCTCCTGACCTTCCAGGAGCCTTGAAGACCCTTTTATCATTGTGTTCTCCATGTAAATAATCCAGCATGTACCAGCCCATCTGTCTTCAGCTTCCCCTGCTTTCATAAACAATTTTGTGCAATAGACTTATTCAGACTTATTGTTAACTTTGGACCAGCCCTTTGTGCAACAGTGCTGTGTTGCTTAATCTGTTTAATAAAATATCTGTCAAAAAAAGTAAACTGTGAGAGAGAAGAAAGTGCAGATGGCACCAACTTATTCGCATTAGTCAGGACCAGGGATGGCAGTGAAGAACATCTGACAGAGCTATGTATGTTCAGTCACCACAACAGCAAATGAAACTCTGTATGGAAGATTGAAAGGTAAGCCAAGACGGGGGTAGAGAGAGGGAGAACATAAACAATTCAAATGGCACTAGCCATTCCCCTTGAGAAAGACTTTGTCGCATACAGGTTAATGAAAACCGTTGCTCAGCCTGTGGTTGTGTTGACAAGGGAGAAGGAAATTAGGATGCAGGAGAAATGAGCAGTGATATATACAGAGAACCCAGATACTGCTTCAGCTGGAATAATGTAAGCAGACCTGACTCTCACATCTACAGAAGAAATCACAAAGGTTGGAAAGAGAAGTGGGTGATGAAAACAATTAGGGGCCTGGAAACATGGAGGGACCGAAGGGATTCCATCTCTTGGCTTTAGAAAAGAGGTGAATGAGAGAGAGGGCTGTAAAGGTTTGCAAAATAATGAATGGTCTAGCAAGGGCAGGTTGTAAGAACTGTTCTCAAAACTCAGAACAAAGCAATGGAATTAAGAAACGGGAATAGCAGTGAGGCTGAGACTCAAAGGGTCTGGGTGTAAATATCAAAACAAAATACCTGGAACTGTTGAAAAGACTTTGTGGAGCGGATGAGCTTCATGTTTCAGGGCTGAATCTGGCCCTTGCTTATTAGCAATCAAGAGGAGACCCCTTAGGGTAAAGAGATGATTACTCCATAGATGTTTCCATGGTTCATCCCTCCTTCCTTTGGAACATCTGGTGCTGGCAACTGTTCAAAATGGGAGATGGGACTAAAAGACCCCCTCGGGCCTGATACATTTGGTAATTCCTGATTGCCTTAAAAACATTCTAAACTGTAACTTCACTGCTATTCCCTGTGAGCAAACAACTTCTGTGCTCTTTATTACTTAGCTCTCCATTTTAGTCCCATGAGATTTAGCCAGCCAGATGCTGCGTATGTGTGTGTGTGTGCATGTGTCTATTTAAGGAACACTTCATGACTCTGCAGTTCCTCTGTTACCTCAGGGCTTCTCTTTGGGGACTCTGTATTAACGGGAATGGCTTTTCCTCCTCTAGCCTCCACAAGTTCAGCCTGCGTCAATGAAATCTCAGACTGGACCTCAGCTTGGACAGCTCTCCCAACCACGGCCTCCTCCCCAAGGTACAGTGCTTTAAGTCTCATGACAGTGTGGTAAAGGTAGTTTGCCTTCTAAATAAAAGCCATCAAGATAAAGCTTTCACTCATTGTCCCAATTCACTGACAAGCAGGCAGAAAATTCAGTGCGCTGTTAAAGCAGCTGCCATCATATTCCACAGCTGCTCAGAAAGTGGGATGAAAATTTGATGCAGATTCAGCTCATATTGCTGGTAGGACTCGGCTCAGCAAAACAAGTCCACTTGAACTGGCGCTGGAGCAAGATTCTGGGCAGAGTGTATCTGTGTTTGCACAAAGCTGTAGTGGCTGCAAATGTGAAGAAGTGATGGGAGATGCTAGTGCATGTCAGGCCTGGACCAGACACCAGTGTGGTGACGCCAGGATCCTTGATCCATCTGTCCCCATGTTCCCCTAGCAGCAGGACACCCCCAGCTCCTCCTGACAGCAGAAGCAGGTTTGACTCGTGTGGCTTGATCAGAACAACAGGTTTGGTTTACTGTCCTAATTTTCACTGAGGTGACAAAGCACAGGGCTGCCCCGTGGGTACCCAGACCACATCAACCACTCACTTCACGCAACCAATTTGACCCTTCTTTTTGCCACCCTTGTCCCTTCTCTTCTCCACTCCAATCTCCTATCAAATTAATACCCACCTCTAATTATCTTTTCCTCATTGGTTACAGTTTTACTGTATCCAAAATTTAGTACTTCTGATACCAAGTGCATCTATGTAATCTTAGCATTACAGGGTATTACTCATACGAATTGTTGGCCTTGTAGGATATTACTCCTCATCTGTCTTCAGTACTCCCCTTCAATTCTCTGTGAAGTTTTTTCTCACATAACTCCCCCTTTACCACCTGTGAAATCCAGCCAGCCCTCACATACTATCTATAACTTTTGCCATCTTCTCACACTGTTATCTGTCACGTCCAGCGATTTCTCATGTCACGTCCAATTGTTTTCCGCATCCTCTTCAGTTTTGAGAATCTGCTGTCAATAGGGCTGAAGCCACTTGCTGATAATGCTGGAACAGGTGTATGGTCTCACATCAGACTGCTGGGCCCATGAAGGGACTGCTGACCCAAACCAGCAGATTCAGATTTCATTTCCTGCAGAGTTGGTTCTCCAGTGGCTCTTCTTCCCCAATGCCTGAAGTGCTTTCAAAGAATAAGAAATATTAGTTACATGGAAGAGTACAACATGTTGAAGTGAGTCCCTTCAGGGTGAGTGGCAGAGATTCTTTAGTGCAGAAAGAGACAGAGAACTCCAGAGATGTGAGCATGACACCAGTTGTAAGCCCGTAAGAGAGGTTCTCCCTTATACTTCTGCATGAAGCTACTCTGAAAAGTCTCTCCCCTTAGCAAAACCCATCCTTCCATGCAGATTCTCCTTGCTTATTGTTCACCACATGCACTTCCTCATGTTTACGTCTACATGTCCCTTTCAGGTGGACCGCGCCAGCCTCAAGGATCTCAGCCTCCACGGACAAGTGCACCTCCACAGCAGCGGCTCTCTCCTCAAGGACAGCAGCCCCAGAGTCCCCAGTCCACCTCACCTCAGCAGCAAAGGTCACCTGGATCTCCACAGCAAGTCCGATCAGCAACCGGGTCCTCTCCAGTCCAGGCTTCCAAGGCAGGCGTGTTCCCTCCACAGCAGCCCAGACCTCCCGCTCAAGGCCGGGCTCCTAGCCAGCCAAGCCCCACTGAAACATCCAAGCAGCAAGCCACCCCACACCCACATTTGAAGTAGGTGCTCTCTTAAACCACTAGTATCTGTAGCTATTAGAATAAAGCTGTTAAAAAAGTACCCCGAGCTGACATGAAGAACGTGACACGTTGTCAGGCAGCAGTCCTCAGGGACAAAGGCTTGGACAACTGCAAGTGACTTCAGAGGTACATATGCCGGGGCATAACAGGCCACCCTCGACCTGTCCTCAGGAAGAAGAAGTTGTACTTGACATCTGTAAGATTTCACATTCTTCCTCTTAGTCACGTGCCCACTGTTAATCGTGTGTTCTACCCTGGCCATAGCAACACAGCTACTAACTTCCCAGCAGGGTGTATACTCGTTACAGGCTGTAACTGGCACATTATGGGCCAGAACGCTCGACAAAAGTAATTCCTTCACTATTCCCTGAATGCAGAAGCCACGCAAGGTTCTTTACCAGGCTATTTTTTGCAATTGGTAGCAAAAAGGGAGGAGAACGGGGACCATGGAAGTGGTACCACTCTTATATATAAAACTCCAGATGGTGACTGTGTGTTTAAGCACTCCACTGAATTATTGTGGATCTTTGGTGGCAGCCTTTGCTGCCACCCTTCATGGATCAAATGTGGCTAGGACCATGGCAGGAAAGATTGACAAAAAGATGTTTAGTATTAACAAAAGGTCAACACAAAAGCAAATTGGTATAAACAAGCCAGAAGAAAATATAGGTTAGGAATGAGAAGACAGTTTCTAGGCAACAGAGGAGTAATGTTCTGGAACAAGCTTTCAGTGATGATATCTACATTAGCAAGGCAAACCAAGAACAGTGTACCTAAGGATCAAAATGTTGCTGCTAAGGATGCAGTTGTCACGCTACACATATTCCAGGTACTTTAATTCAGAGTGTGGTCTTGTACTGAATGCCTGTTACTGAGCAGGAGAAACCACTCAGTGACAAAGCATAGTAGTGGGGAAAACTGGGAGATTTACTTCAAAAGCACAGTCCTGGTCTGAGTTTAAATAATAGCAGATACACACACCCAGCAGGAGCAGTGTGGGCAACCAAAAGACCCGCACAGCACAGCTGACAGTCAGAGCAGACATGCCAGGAAGGGCAGGCAACAGGCAACACATTGCAGGGGACTTGGCTACCAACTTGCCAAACCTCTCACACTTTCACATCTGAAAGGACAGGACCATCATTCATGGTACAGCTCGCGAGAGACAGGTGACCCTCAGTATGAATACATTCTTCTGTATTAGTAGCAAAAAAATTTAACTGTTCCTCACAACAGTTGCACCAAATGGCCATTGCACACGTTTAGTCAGATGTTTTTTCATAGTAACTAATCTGGACTGTGATATTAGAGCCACCTGCTCTAATATCCCATCCTCTTCCACCCCCCCACATTCCTGGATGTCTTTGCAGATGGAGATTCTCTGTCCTAACCTCTTCTTTTATCCTTGAATTTGTCTGTGTCATGGAACACAAAGCATCAGTAACCAGCTTTGAATTATCACCTCCTCCCGTTGAGTCTGAACTCTGTTTTATGTTTCAGCAAATCGCAGTCCCTGACAAACACCTTCAGCATTTCTGAATCATCTCAGAGGGGAAATGCCAATGAAGACGAAGCAAAAGCTGAGACCATTCGCAACCTGAGGAAATCATTTGCTAGCCTGTTTTCCGATTAACAGCCCTGCAGCTGGATCTGTGCTTTTGCCAGCCTTCACTCTTCATATCAGCATATCTGATGTCATCCTGGAATATACTCAGTGGTACTCAGCAATTTACAGCTAACACCTGGGTAAAGGGAATTTAGAAAACTATAGTTGTTTTAATACAAAGAAAATATTCTATTAAGGGTCTGAAAAGTGACTGCATAGAAGTGGCACTATTTCATTGTTTTTTGTGCATAATCAGAATCACACCTGTTCAAATGACTGAGGTGTAAAGCAAATTTTACTCTTGCTAACCCCTGTGGAGTCAACACAGTTATGACAGTGCAAACTGGATTTTATTTCGATTTGTATATAGTCACTACAATTGCTAACTTCCAATTACTGAATCCTTGCTGAGGTTGAGCTAAAAACATATAGAGGCTTATTTCAGAAACAGACGTGCAGACCGAGTCAAGAATGAGTATTCATTGACTGATACAGTGAGCATGCTTGAGCATAGACACACAGTGATCTGTGGAACTTCATGATACCAACTTTATAAGAAGTCGCTTTTCAGAGCAGAACTACATTCAAGTCGAATACGGTACCAGGCATCAGTAAGCACCAAAGATCACATGAGCAGGTCATCCAGATGGACTGCTGGTTTATTCCAGATCACTCTGTCCATAGCAGATAAAACATCTCTGTTTCATGTCTTGCATTTATGTCCCCTGCACGTGATTCCTGAGTGCTGAGAGAAAAATGTCATGTTCTAACCCTGTAGCCTTAGCTCAAAAATAAGCCGAGAAATGGGCCTTCCACACAAAAAAAAACTTCCTCCCCTGCCCCTGGAAACACCAGAGTTCATGTTCACAGATCACACAAATTCCAGACAAAACCCAGCTAAACTCCAAGCACTTTGGTGACTTGGTCACATCTGGCTAAGTATGTTCCCCAGGGAACATGCTTAATTAATAGCAGAGCTGATGAAGTGCACATACTTGTGTGCTGAGTGTTCCATAATACTGAATGCACAGAGATGGAGTGAAATCCTGTCGCTCTCCTCGAACTCCCACTACCTTCACTGGGCTGAGTGCAAAATGAATGCAAGGCGACAAACCTGCAATAGAACAGGAAAGCTATCCTTTACAAATAAGATGAGCTGGGGTCCATCCACAGACACCAAGCCCTGGGAGGGCATGTATGGGATTGCCCCAAGCAGGTAATGATCAGTATTAGTCCTCCCCGATCACCCCCAAGAATTATTCTTCCAGAGAAGACAGAGATGGATCTTTGCCAGGTGTGCTTTTCTTCTAAGCCTGCAACACAGAATGAAGCTGTGTATGAGCACAAATATGGGAACTGGGACACAGCAAAAAAACAGGAATGACACAAGGTACATTCACAACTGAAAAAAACCACCCCTGGTAAATCAATGTATCTGTGGCTACTTCTGCCAGCTGAGAACCTACCCCTCGAACCGTGCTTGTTCTATTTATAACACACCTTATGCAGGCACCAGTCCTCATCCCACCTCCCTGACTTTTCTTCAACTTTTGTCAAGTATTTTAGTCACAAACCATGCATATGGCTTCAAGGACCAACTGTCGATGTTGTGCTTCCCTTAGGAACTTCACCTTGGTGACACTTAGGAATGGCCAGGAAGGCAGGGAGGTCAGTAAGTTAAAAACATCTGAGCCAATGGCACAGATCTTAGCTGTCACTTACAGGGAGATCCCCAAAGCAGCAAAAGCAACAGCAGCATTTGCCATCTTGGATCTTATGATTCACTGGTGGGAATAAAGCCAAACAAGCAATTCCTTCCTGCACAGCACCTGTAAGGAATATCTAAATCCAATGCAATCGTCTGGACCTTGTGTGACCTACCCCTGAGCAGGCCTTTACACATATAATGGCTTTTGTGATCAGTGCACTTTCAGCCAAGCAACAGCATAGCTTTTCCAGGTTGGAAGGCTCTTGAGGGACTCATCTGGATCTCTGATTTATACCTCAAGTGCAGTATTATAGAACCACCCTATTCCCTAGTGAGTTATTCTTTTTTTTCAGTTCTGTGTTGTCCTTCCAGGTTTGCTAAGCAGTTTACAATGTAGCATCATAAGTACATGTCATTGTCTGAGAAAAACAACAGAGCCTGCTGTTTTGCAGTCTCCAGGAGCAATAAAAGAGTGACAAATGGCCCTGAGCAAGCATTGTCCCACTGGCAGGAACAATAGCAGATTAACAGGCTCCACTATATGGAAAGGAGGTAATACAACCCTGGTGGGAGAGGATTTCCTTCTGTAACGCATCCCTCAGCATGCTTTATGCCTTTCCCTACTAAATGGTCACCAGAGATGCAAAGACAGAAATAAAAGTTTACTACCAGAATCCTCAATTGCTCTATCCCCCGAAATCTTTTTATGTCTCTCTTACCAACACAACCGATACAAAAAATAAGCGACTAGTATGGTACGGCCCCACAGATCGACCGCAGTTCACCACTAAAACCACAATGGTGGGATCATTTGCTGATGCTGCATTTGAACACAGCAGGGCTGTCCTCCAGCAGACCACAGTAACAGGATAGCACTGTTGACTCGATACCCAGCAGCGACTCAGATCTCTTCACTTGCCTACAGCTCCCAGCTGTCATCTTTCAAGGGACGAGCAAACAGAATGGCATCTCCCCTCCAGCTTGCAAAAACAAGTAAAAGCAAGAGGCACTCTCAGCTTAACTTGGTTACTCCCACAGTTCCTGAAAAGCATCTTCAGTTCTACCTTTAATGAAAACGCTGGGTTGATTTCCTAAGTTCAAATGGTGAAACTCTATACTGTGTCCTATAAATGTTCCAACAGCACACTTCGATCTACAGCTATGAGGCTCACATACTAAATGTTGTGGCTAGCAGGAGATTCACAAATGCATCATCATCCATTCACGCAGCCACAGAACCTTCAGCCTAACCAGGTCGCCAGACACGACCTGCAATTATCCCAAGGACTGCTCAAGCCCCAGCTACGGCTCACAGGAGGAAGGGAATGCAGATAAAGGCATGTCGGTGTCTTCTCAGGTACAGCTTTCCCGATCTTTGATGCAGGGCTTCTCTTCCAAAATGCCTGCAATCTAACAAAGCAAAAGGGAGAGGGAATACGAGGAGTACATGCTCCATTTATACGAATGGGGAACTCAGGTACACCCAAAATGCATTTAGGTACCTAAATGTAACAGCTGGAGTTAGGAGCAGCGAGAAAGCGGCAGAAAAGCTGGTGACTAGAAGTTACATTTAAATCACAGGGCAGCCATACCCCACAGCATGCCTTGGGACCTTTCTCACACAGCTGTCAAAACTGAGCACTTGGTCAGTGTCTCCCTCTTGTCCCGCATGCTTCGATTTTCTTCACATGGAAGCCAGGAAACATTAATGGATTTGTGTTTGGATCCAGCCCAAGAAGGAGCTGAGACACAGTTATGACACCCACTCACAGCCAGCACCTGGAAAGTCAGTTTACATTCTGCAGTTTAGATGCAGACTGAGAAACATCTTGACTTTCATGTAATACCTAGGTGTGGTATTTCAAGAGGAAAGTCACTTACATTCCCATGCAACTAGAAGTCTTGTATAAAGCTATGCTTCAGAAGAATAGGAGTCCTCCTCATAACTGCAGTGGGATTTTCTTTCACTTAATCACAGGCAGGTACGTAAGACCCTACACCCATCTGGCTGGTATAAGTTTTGTGAATAAGCAAAAATAATAACTAGAAAAGCCAAGGACAATAGTTCCTTATTTCCAAGTAACTACTAGTGGCAACCCTAACAGTGCTAGATACAGATGAACAGTTTGGGTAAGAAACACCCATCTTCAGACATTTCCTCTTTCGTGACAGTTCACAAACAGCAACGACATGCGTACGTGACTTAGGAGCTAGCAAATAAACAAAACAAGTAGCTAGTTTTCAAATATTTCCTCTGTTTTGTCTGCTAACTTTATACTGTTGGTCCTGAGATATTCACTTTGTATTTCAGAGCCTGCTTTATAAATAAATGGAACTCCTCTTTAGGGAACTTGACAGTTCAGAGTAAGTCAGGTTCCTTTATCTCTGGCTCACAATACATTTAGTGTAATTGAAGACACAATGAAGAAAGGGAAAGACTATCTTCAGGTCACTTAGCAGTGTATCTGTAAAAAGGTTAAGTTCATTTCTTCAGAAACATTCAAATGACAAAATCCAGGATAAAGAGAACGTGTGGCATCTGCCTGGCAGAAGTAGGACAAGGTTTTCTTCATGGCAGAGAGGGCCCAGCTCCAGAGCAGCTTGGGGCACGCAGCACAGCACGCACCGTGACTGCCAGCAAAGCAACCTGAGCGCCACCGGCACCACAAGATTATCGTGTCTCATGCACATAGAGATCACTGTTCCCAAAACTGGCTCGAAAAAAAGTATGAAGTTACCAATTATTTTGTCAGTTAAAGCTGTATAACCTTATCTGAATATCATGTATGCATTTCTGAAGCACTCATCACAAGGACAAAGTGGTGCAAGGCCAACACAGTGTAGATTTCCCTTCTCCTTTTTTACAGTCAGTGGATTAAAAAAAAAAAAAAAAAAAAAAAAATCGCTCCAAGAGGCCTGACTATACACTTAAGTGAAAATTCTGTTGGAACAAGACAATTCAACAACTGCAGCAAACATTAAAAATTAAGGCTAATCTTAGTATTGGAGGGAAATCACTGTCCCCAGACTCTACAAATCCATACTCTTCGGTGTTTAATTATGGCAGCATTTGCACTGGTATGTCATTGCTATTAAGTAGAAAAGATAAGAAAGAAGCAATACAACTTTTGACATAAAAATAAAACATTATATTTAACTTCCACTCGAGTTAATGGCAAAACTTCCTGACACTACTGAGGTCAGCTGATTTTATACAAAGCAAGGTGAATCTCTGAAATATCACCTGAAAAGGCATGTATTACTGATTAAATAGCTTGTATTTAACAGGGAATGTCATTCCATTTCCACTGTTGGAATTTCAAAAAGATTTTAGGAAACATTATCAGCTGTCACAACAGTCATCAGTACCATTTAGATTTCTAGAAGCACTTATTATCAATCCATCTTAAAAAAAATACGTAAGAAATGAAAAGTTCTAGCAAAGTTTAGTCATTCCAGTTTTCCTTTAATTGAGCTCCAGCAACAGCCTGCAGATCTCATCAGGAGACTTTAACAGTGGTCTTGTTCGTTGCTCATTAGTTAGTAAGACAACACTAGAAAGGTGCTCATAACCTGCTACAACACATTTCCTCTTGGCAAGATATATTTTGATATTGAAGTAATGGAATTAAATGGAATTTACTGCAGTAGAGTTCATTCTGCTTCTCCTGCTGTCATCCCATTTCCACTGCAATGATGTCAATTTAATTCCTTAAGTTAGGCAGGAAGAAAGGTTTGGTTTTGCACCAGTTTTAGTGCACACATGGTAAATGCAGCGATGTACTACAGCTCCTTATTTGTAAAGTTAAGGAGAAAGACAAATTTTGCTGCTGGTTCCTTGTAAAAATCGCTCTGCTTCTGTTCAGACTTCTGAGTTGCACTGTAGCATGACTTTACTCGGTTGTTTGTATAACAAATTCATTTGTGTTCTAATATTTCCATTGTAAAGACAATCCCTTCCCTGTATTCTTTGTGTATTACGTAACAACACAAAAATGCTTTTTACCTAATAAAACATTAAAGGAAAAAGGAAACGTCATCTTTGAAAATTTCCATGAACACACATCTACCTTAACAGTGGTAGCATCCTTCCCTACGTGGAACATGGTAGATTTTTTTGTTAATAAAGATTAATAGCCAGGTAGATTTTGAAACAACATCATTTTTTCCTGGTAATTTAATAAAACTCTTCAAAAAAGACAGACAAGTATAAGGTTTGTATTTAAAGTGCTCTTTATCTGATGCAGCAAATATTTGGCCCGTATCTTTCTGGTCTCTAAGTAGCACTTCACAGATGATTAAGGGGGGAGGCAGGGAGGGGGAGCAGAAAAAAAAAAAAAAAAAAAAACAAAAACCCAAACGGTTCCAAGTTGTAGCTCCTCGAGAAATAGACTTTAGTGCCAGGTGGTAGAGTACTACCAGAGCGTAAAACAAACCCAGCCTTTGTGGCTGAAACACTACCATGCACACATGTTCTTGCCACGATCTGAAGAGAAGGCAGATGTTAGTGCCTGGTATTTGCAACCTCCTGCAGTTAGAAAGCAAGCTCAGGGGAAAAAGCAGCAATCAAATGAACGCCCGGCGAATGTCCATGGGGCGGCCCCGGCTGGGTCTGGGTGGAAACCTGTCACTGGGACTAGCTCGTCCTGGAAGTGTAGGGTTTGCTCCAGGCAAGGAACCAATTGGGTCAAAATGTGGTCTGAATGGAGGAAACTGCCCTGGTGCTTCTCCTGGGCCAGGAATGAGCGAGTTAATTGGGTCTCCGACATATGGAAGCGTTGGTCTCTCATCATATTCTCCACCAATGATCACTGGGGGATAGATTGGGTTTGATGGGAATGGGTTGGGAGGAAAGGGATTAGGGTAGAATGGGTTGGGATGAAAGGGGATTGGATGAGGTGTAGGGGGCAGAAACATCATGTGCCTCCATCTCAGGGTCTCCTTCTTCTGTTTCAACTTCTTCTTGTATAGCTGCAGACGGAAACAAAGGCATTTTAAAGCTCTGTAAGTGCTTCGTGTTCCAGCTTCAGCAATTGCATTCAGTTCTGCAGCACTTCTCAGAAAAAAACACTCCTCGCCAGCCTGAAAACCCAGAACAGCAACTCCCCTGCCTGCCAAAGATCACACACAGCACCTCGGGAAGACCTCTCACCCATGCTGTGGACATGCACCATGCAACCTGCCGATGCTGTTTCCTCCTCCTTTGACCAAAATCAACATGTGCACACCAAACACCACACTTTTAAACTAAAAGTTAACTCAAAGTTACTTCCAAACTCTACGCTGTATTCTCAAACTAGCCTGGAGACTAATCTCAGAGAGATTATACAAAAAAGGCACCTACTTCTTTCCAGTCTGTGTCACGAGGCCTCGCAATAGCATCTACAAAGAGAAGCAAAAAAATAAGAAGAGTAATCCATTTTATTTTTAAGTAGCATTTATGCCACAGATGCCCACAGTTTTGCCAGAACTTGTAGAACAATCAAAAGATGAAAACACACTTTTGGTCAATATTTTTCATATAGATCATGCATCTTAAAAAAGATAAAGCTCCAGGAGCATTCAATAGGTAATCTACTTGCACACCCATTCTACATAAAGCATCATCTCCCAAAGTTACTCACCAACTACAGAAAACCCAGAACACTATTCCCATCTTTGACTTCTGACATCACTTCCCTTGATCACCTTCTTTATTAAATTTATTCTGAGAATTTTAGCAGGAATATCTCCTTCCCTCCACTTCCTAATATCTGCAATAGCCATTACACCCAGGTAGCCAGGGAAACAGATGAAAACAAGGGAAGCCTGCCCTACACAATGGGAAGAACTATGTGTTTAAAAATCAGAAGTGGTTCCCTGAGGAGCTGCTTATCAAAATCTGTCAGACCTAAACTCTCTGTTCACGTGAGAATGTAATTAGAAAGCTATGTGTCTCAACATTACCTCGGAAATCTCGCAGATACATAAACCTCCACAGAAGCTGGTCATTTGAAGCTGTGTAAAGATCACGGCAAACAGCAGAGAGAGAGATGAGTGAACGGACATCCAGAAGTCTGAAAATTCGAAGCTTGAGCTCAAGAGGAAGGACCACTAACCCAAACACATCTGGCAAGTTCAGAGCTGCAAAGGGGAAAAAATAGAAGCATTACCTAAGTAGTACAGTTTACTCTATCTCTAAAGACCCTAAAAGAAATAATATCCAATCTTTCCTTAAATCATTTCCCTTTGACGCCAGAGTTACACCATTTTTCTCAGGAAGTACTGTGACATGACTTCTTATAAAACAGTTCTCTCGCAACTCTGAGTACATTTACAGAGTGCACAAAATAGGGCAAATGGCACCTTATACTGACCACTATTGGCCACCAAGCCCAAGAAACATTCCACACACCAAACTATGTTTATAGGCTACAGAACAAAGGAATAGGCAGGGAGAGAAAGACCTGCCCAATTTCATGAGCCCACAAAAAAAACCCACATTAAATACAGAGCACATGCTTCACATAAAACCTTCCCACACTGAAGTCTAGAGGGAATTCCATTGAATAGTCTTCAGAATACAAAGCTGAGACCTTTCATGGAAATACCTATGCAGAGAAAACCTGGCTTCCTACTGCTTCAAACACACCAGCTTGGGTTACTTCCTCCCATCCTTTCCAAGCCCTCAATGACCAGTTACTGAGAAGATCATTTGGAAGTCTAGCCTCAGGAATATGATGCTGTATAAATTTTTCTGCTTTGACAAAGAAATGGGTCAAAACTACAGAACTACTGCCACAAAATTACTGTGGTATGATTTTCTCATCACTAAGTGTGAAAAACAGGCACTCCAGTCTGTTAAGTGAGACTAGAGCAGTCAAAAAATTAAAACTAGGAAATTGTATCTCAGACAACGTTAGTACAATGAAAAAGATTAATATAATTTCTTTAGAATGTATAAATTACTTTATGTTTACTCTTTATATACCCATCACTGAACAGCTGTTTCTAACACTTTTCCTTCCAGGCTTTAGATAGACCCCCTTCTTTCCATCAAAAATTAAGTACCATCTCTAATTGTAAATATTTTCTCTCACCTTGTCGGGCAGCAGCCAGAAGAGAGTAAACCAGCTGGTCTTTAAAGAGACGGGATAATTTCTGAAGGTCTTTGTAAACACCTGCAACCTTTTCTATCAAAGAAGTGATGTAAAAAGCTTAATTTCAGGAGGTTATAATGCAAAAAATATAAAAGAACAGAATAATTATGGTTTTCTTATAAGCAGAACCGTAATCTGCTTGTAATCTTGATGGGAACAGCTATGCATCTAGAGTGCAACAATCAAGTAATTCATCAACAAACTACACAGTGCCATGGCCAGGCAAGGCTTTCCTTTGGCATTGAAAAGCAACAGTAAGATAAATACTTGAGTTCTTCAGAAACAAACTGACTCTCAAACTGTCAGAGGTTCCTTTGTCAAATTTCAGAGCTCATGTGTAACATGCACCTATGTTATAAATGCCTGCAATATTCTTTTTTTCTGGCAGGTATGTTTCTCCATTCTGTTCTGAAGAAAGAGAAGCCAGAAGACTCCACCATTATACTGGGCGCATTTCAGCACTCAGTTAACTCTTCTAAAGCCTTTAGCCTAGACTTGTACATCAGCAACCGGGACTACCCAGGACATAGCCTAGGACACTGAGCCAACCTCAACTGCCAACGAAGCAGTTCATATACTTCAGAGAACAAAAGGCTACTTGAGTCTGTGCTCACAATGATCCACATTTATCTGCCCTTCTCTCCTCCCCTGCCTTAGCTTACCCTCTAATTTTGGCATTCTGGAGAGACCTATGTGGTCAGCACACGTTTTCTGACAATAAGAATGTAATAATTACAGTGCCACAACAAGAGTGTAGGTGCCA